AGCTGATGAATGGATACATAAACTCTGTTCTATCCGTACAATAGATGGCCACATACAGGAAGTAACCTAGGAAACATGCTAAGGGAAAGAAGCCAGTTACAAAAGACCACATATTGTATGATTCCATTTATATGAATTGTCCAGAATAGGCAAATCTATAGCCACAGAGAGGAAAATTTGTTGCCTAGGGTGGAGGAGGGGAAGTAATATTGTGGGATTAAGTGGTAATAGCTAGAAGGTAGGGGATGATGAAGATGTTCTAAAATGTATTGTAATGATTGTACAACTCTGTGAATATACTAATAACCATTGAATTGTACATTTCCAATGGGTGAATTGTATGGTATGTGAATTTTGTCTCAGCAAAGCTGTTACCTTTCCCACCCCCTGCTCCAAATCTCATTTGTACCAGTTTCAACATCTTACTGTTGAGAGAAAGGGCAAAGGAACAGAAATATGATTAATTGTCCTTCAAGAATAGTTCAGTTTAGAAAGATTTGTTGAATGTCTGCTCTGTACCTGGCACACAGCAGGGCATTGAGAACAAAAGCAAAGAAGTTGTCAGTCTGGTGAGGAACCTTTGAGCGGGCCAGTGCAGGGTACCCAGGCAGCAGAACTCTGTGTCGAAGGTGCCACAGTCAGAGCAGGAGGGAGTGCTGGGAACACCAGGGATGGAGTCACCCACTAGGCATCCAGGGCACAGGGGTACTCCCAGGCAGAGGTGGCATGAAGCATGTGGTGATGCCGGCCCCTAGGGTCCAGAGTGGGGCAGGGGGTGCCAGTGGCAGGAGGCGGGTCTGGAAAGGGGGACTAACTTTCAAACCATCTGTATTAAAGAAAAGGGAACTTCACAAGGAAGTGCTGTGCTGAACCAGTCTTTATCTTCTGGAATTTTTAGTTCACAAATTAATACAGAGCTCTCATTTACTGAACGTTCACGGCCTGGCACTGTTCTCAGGTCCTCTCTCACGATACTCTTCACAATTCTGTGAAGGGTGTGCTGCGAGGGCCGCGCTGGTGAGGAGAAAGGGGCAGCAAGGGCGTCGCTGGCTGCCCACAGCTGTGCAGCTGGTGGGGGAGTGGCGAGGCCAGGAGTCGGCCTGGCAGCCAGACTCCAGGGCCCGCCCTCCTCCGCACCTGACTCTCCGTGACTTCGTGCCGATGGCAGCAGTCTGCAGAACCGTTGTTCTTGTTGAATTTCTTTCAGCCTCTGTTTCAAGATGCTTTTGGTTCTTTGTTAAAATGACTAAATGTATCTAAAATTAAACTGGCAATCATTTGTTTTTCTTGTACAATTGAAGTTGTTGCTATTTCACTTAAGAAATTACGGAAAAAGAGGAACCGAGTGACGATAATCACAGGGATTTCTTATTTGAGCTATTTGTATTTAATGTTCCTTCAAGTCTTTTTAGGTTGAGGAAAATCTTTCTGAACATTGGTGATAACTGGTTGTTCACTGAGATAGCTTCCTGTATAAATATGTCTATCAACACCATTTGGAGGGGTCTTGCCTCAAAAAATGAACATCCTTGAAATGGGCTGATACTTGTTTTGCTCTCCATAAAAATAATTCTAGGCTTGGGAAGTGAAGTGACTTAATTTAGGGCATTAAATTACAACGTAGATAGGCTTTCGGCAGTTCTGCCCTGTTTCTGGGACATATTGGAGAGGGTAGCAGGATGGCTTTTTGTGTACTCAAAGGCCTAGGCCAAAACTTAACTTTGACTTTTTAGTTGAACACACCCCTTCAGCTAACACACTAAACACAGACATTCATTGGTGCCCATAGTAAACCCATTTTCCTTTAAAAGGGGAGGAAAAGCTCCACCTTAGGTTGCCTGGGCAAGTCCACAGCACCCTGGCACGTAATTTGGGCAACCGAAATGCAGCTGGCCCCAGTTGGTAATTCCTCAGCACGCTGGTATGTCCTAGCGTTGCCAAGTAGACTGGGGGATTTAGAGAACAGGAAGTGGGCCCTGGGAGATAAGGCAGGCGGCTGTGAGCTGCAGACAGGAGAGGAAATGAGAATGCTAGTCCGGAGACACAGCATTAGCAGTTTGGCTTTGCTTTTAAACCAAGAATCACGGAGAGGGGAGGATTTCTGTCTCTGACTGGTTGGAACTCGCAGCAAAGACACGTGTGAATGGGGGCCACATTTCCACTTACTGCTGCATCTCAACTGATCAAGAATTTTAAAAAGATGAAGTTGAGTCAGTGAACATCTCTTTTATCCAACAACAGCAACTGTGTTGTCCTAAGACCAAGAAATCTTTAACTTTAGAAAATATTTAAAACTATTTTCTGCCTCTGTTCTTTTGTGTTTGTGTCATGTCATGACTGTGCAAGCTGTTTTCATGCAGGATGGGTTTGTTGGTGGTGGATGTTAAAGGCAAAAAGGGGGAAATACAGATAATACGATTAGCCTCTATCTTCTGGGATATGACACTTTGTCTTCAAGTATTATTTTACAAAGAGGCTCATAATAGATGTAAGTAAATAATTTAAATACTGACCAGTCATGAATATCATGTTCTTATTTATTATGTTCCATTCTATGGTGCCATTTGAAGTGCATTAATGAGTGTGGGCTTAAATAATTAATGTTTATTTTTTAAGGACCGAATTGTAGCCGCATGTACATTTGTGGATAGTAGTACTTGGGCCAAATCATTGTCAGACCTGGAAGAAGTCTATGATGTTGGTTGTTATTGACCATTTGGAAATTCTAAATTTTATGACACATTCCACGTAATGTAAAGACTTTCGTTATTGGTTCAACTTTTAAAAAAATTAAATCAGTAATTTCAATAGAGAATTTTACTAACTAGACTAGAAAAATGAACCTGGATTTGTTGCCCTCCTCTCCCCCTGCGTTGAGCCCTCCCCCACCCCACCCCGCGTGTGTGTTCACAGCTCTGTGATTGCATGTAGAGCACTACATTATGTCCATTCAGTCAGCTGAACTGCACAGGGACAAAGATGTCTTAATCTCTGTTTTCACCACCTAACGGTGTCTGGTTTGTCATAGGCAGGCAGCAGTATTTGCTATTATTAAAATGCCTTTGAGAGTTGGAAACTAACCTACTTGAAATAGTTTTCAATACCTTTTATAATTCAAAGATATGATAAGGATCCTATCTTCTAATTATTATTGTTTGGCACAGTATATTCAAAATTGCTGTGTCAGTCAGTATTCAGAGCTGAGCACACCTCTGTCCCCTTCCTCGAGTGGCACAGATCTGCTGGGGGGTGTGGGCACAAGCTGACAGTGACAATGGATTGTGCCAGTGCTACATGGGCTGAGCTGTGACCAGGGCAAGGAAGGAGAGCTCCATAGAGAACTGCAGCTGATGGGGCCACCTGGGGAGCTCTCCATGTCTGCACCCACCCACGCATGCTGCCTACAGCGTGGTAAGCCGTCAGCTCGATTACCTCTAACTACTGATTGCCAGGTCTCAAAAGATTGCAGCCTCACAGCTTCCTACGGTTTTGTAGAGTTTTTAAAAAGAGCTATGATATTCTTTACATTTTAAGTGGGTAATAATTTCCTCTCGGAAATTGGAGGATTTTGTTATACGTTTTACAGGCATGATACAAACCAAGGCTGCTCGAGGCAGACTAAATCAGATTGCTCTCAGGGGTCTCTCGCAGCTCTCTGGTGCCCTGGAAGCAAGTTTAAAGACCTAAACTCCAGGGTGTGCATGGCATCACTTTGAGAAGTAATGGGGTTTACGCATTGGTCTGAAATCAGGAAATGCACTTTAGACAGATGGTGCGAGGAGGGGCCTGGTCCTTGACCGTCAGTCCTCAGCCTCACTTTCAGCCTCACTTACTTCGAATGTAAGTTAGAATTTGGAAACTGTTTACATCGGTCTCCCATGTTTATAATGATTATGATTAGTTTATTAGGCACAAAGGGCTGAGAGTAGACTAGGGCTCGAATCTTTCTTTAATAGCAGGAGAGCTCTTGCTAAGGAACAATAGTCCCGTTTTAGTCTGTGGATATTCTGACTTCCCAGCTGGAACTTACCTGAGGGTGGCGGGGGTGCTTCCCAGCCTCCAACGCAGTTATTAGTCCCATGGCGTGAACACACTAAATGTGTACTGAGTGTCTGAATCAGTTCATCAGGATCTCGAGGATGGGCCGGTTGGGGACAGCCTCAGGGAACTTCACCGTGGGAACCTCATGGTATTGGTCTTGAAGCCCCTGGTCTCCTCCCAGGACCACGCAGAAGCCTCGTCCCCTCACTGCTCTTCCTGGGCTGGGTGAGGGCTGCCTCAGAGTGTTCCCACATGTGCCTGTTCTCACAAACCACCTACCGGAGTTTCTACCTGTTTACATACGGAAGTGATCTTTGAGGAAGATGAAAGTGATTTGTCTAGATTCAGAATTTTTCAAATTTAAAAACAAAGTTCTTATACTCACAAATTTTGAAGCTTATGATTTCTTCATGTTTCCTCTGTGATAAACAACTTAGATATTTCAACTGTGTATTTTTTCAAAAATGTTCATATTTAGATGCTGAACTCTTAAGAAATAAGGTCGTTCAGAAAATATACAGAAAATTTTGATGCAGGAGGAAAGTGAAATTAAATGGGACTCACCCTTTCCTCTTTCTGTGCTGAATTAGTGAACCCTGATTCAAATACGTGGTGAACTGTGTGAAAATAGTTTGCCCACACACAGGAGCAGCAGATGAAGGCTCATCTGCAGGAGGCAGGTGCTGGGTACAGATGGGCTCTGGGTCCTCTCTTTGTATGGCAGTGAGCACGTTAGTGGCGTGTGTTACTGTCAGGAAGCCGTGTGCATAGGTCTGGCTCCCTGTGGACTGTCATCTGTGGGCTTTGCCTGCCCCTCCACTGGTCCCCATGTTCCTCTCCAGTCTTCTCCTTTGACAGACTGCATGCTAATTAGTTCTTGAAGTCTGATCACTTCATAGAAGTAACCCTGGCCTGCTGATTTATCTCCTATGGTAAATATCTTCTTGGTGGTTTTCTAGGTTGTGCTGGTGAGGTGGAATGAGCCATACCAGAAACTGGCCACATGTGATGCTGACGGAGGAATATTTGTGTGGATTCAGTACGAAGGCAGGTGGTCTGTGGAACTGGTCAACGACCGAGGGGCTCAGGTGAGTGGGCGGCACCTCTTCAGACAAAAGACTGCTGGGCAGAGAAAGCCGGACCAAGCATTAGAGCAAACATTTTAGCATTACACAGCTCCAAAAACTCTCCCCAGAACTAGGTGGAGTAGAAATAAGTAAAATTAGCATCCTGCCTGTCATTTCTCTTGAATATGGCATTAGATAAAAAGAGAGAGTGCGAGATCATACTTCCTTTTCTTTTCAACCATGCTGCTGTTATGAGAACTTTCCAAGTTTCAAACTTTAATTAGATCTGTGAAACCATTTTTTACCCTTCAGTGTTGTGATTACATGTTAAATTTGGGTCCTCTGAAGTGCTTCTAGCATATCACTTTTTTGCTTCCTGTGAAGAGGAATTTTCCCCGTGTTGTAATCTTCATAGTTCTCTCCCAGAGAGCCTTACGTGATTCTCACAATCTACTCACCAAGGGAAGAGTTTTTAACGCGTTCTTCTCTCAGGTTTCAGTTAGCATTGTCACCTGTTGTCATCTCCGTGCTAAGGAAAACAGTTGCTCCAAAGGTACCCTGCTGAGCTGTGCTATTTCCAGAAAGGCTCCACAGAGTCTTCTAGACCTGGCTCTCTTCTTCTCATGTTCTGTACGTGTTCTATACACTTCAGAGCAGGCAGTTACCGTCCTGGGGATTTGACAAAATTATGATTTAAGAACCGGAGTCCTCCAGGGATGTTAATTGACAAGAAGTTTCTTGACAATTTTGACTCTCTCAGAATGATTTTCCAGTGACTGCATTTCTATGCATTTCTACGGTACTGGATTTTCATCCTCCCCTTTCCCACCCATCGCTTAAAAAAGCTGAGCTTCCCAAGTTTGAAAGATACAGACCAGTCAAGTGACATACAATTGCAAGGAATGAAGCTATTACGTTCAGTGACTGTGAGTAGGCTGAAGACCTACTAACAGTTTAAGATGCCGTCACGGAAGACAAACCTATTTCTTTGCAAAGACATTTTTATATGAGTTTATTTGTTTGTTTGGTAGGGTAAGTGTAATAATATTAACTGACTCTGATAAGGCCTTACCAGTTTCCTGCATTCCTCTGTTGAGAGAGAAAAGGAAGTGGTAGAGGCTGCCCTTGACCACTGACTGGCCTTCTTGAAGTAGAGCTGCAAATGTGGATATCTCCACGACTATGAGAAGTTTCTGTCACCTTGAGGGTGGATTTGTGGTCACAAGCATGAACTCTGGAGTCAGACAACATAGGCCAAAAGTCTCACTTCATGACTTCTGAGTTGGAGATACCTGTCAGTGCCCCAGTTTCCTCACTTGTAATATAGGGACTATAATATACCTGCCTCCGAGACCTGCAGTGAGGATTAAGTAAGACTGTATATGGAAAGCAGTCATAGTACTGTCTGCACCTAGCAGTTGTCACTGCATCTGATCACAGGGCCTGCCACCTGGCAGACCCTAGCACAGAGCTGCCGTGCCTTGCAGCAGTAGCCCTAGGGTATCACCAAAGACAAGTTTCACACCTTGAGGTAGCAGTTCATATGGTTTTTTTTGTGAAGTATAGAGACCTCTTTAAGTTTGCCTGTACGGGCCTCTAAAGTGCTGCAATTCTCCCATTAACCAAAGCATAGGACTCTTTTCCCTAGAAAGGCCCCATGATGGGGTGAGATGTGTCTTCATATTTAGGATGGCCGGAGGACTTTAAATCCCTACTCAGAGAAAGAAAGGGAAGGGGTAGCTAAGACAGATGCCAACCAAGTGCTTGGCTTTTTCATGTCTTATTTCTTTTGATCTCCATAGGAACCATATTCTGAAATATTGTTGTTCTTGGTTAAAGAAGAGAAAAATACAGGTCAGGAAGGTTCAGTAGCTTGTCCGAGGAAGTTCATGGATGATAAGTTAGAAACCAAACACCAGTTTATCTGAGTCCAGAGCGTTCTACCACACTCTCTTATTCCCAAACAGAAACTATTTTCTCTTTTGGCAGAAATGTACGCATTCATAGTACAGTCATGTGCCACATGACAACATTTCTGTGTTGGGAAGAGACAGACAGATTGCGTATATGTTGGTGGTCCTTTAAGATTATAATGGAGCTGAGAAACTCCTATGGCCTAGTGACGTCTAGCTGTCATAGCAAAGTGCAGAGCCTTACTTATGTGTTTGTAGTATTACTGATACAAACAAGCTGTGCTGCACTGGTATAAAAGTCTAGCACATATAATTATCTACAATATATGATATTTGATAATGGTAATAAATGATTATATTACTGATATTTATTATATTATACTTTTTTAGAGTATACCCTACTTATAAAAAAAACCAGTAAACTGTAACAGGCAGTCGTTTGGGAGGTATCCAGCAGAAGGCATTATTATCACAGGAGATGACGGCTTCATGACTGTTAGCGTCAATGAAGACCCTCCAGTGGGACAAGATGTGGAGACGGAAGACAGTGATATTGATGATCCTGACCCTGTGTAGGCCTAAGTTAATATGTGTATTTGTGTCTTAGTTTTTTTTAAAAAAAGTTTAAAAAGTAAAAAAGAAAAAAAATTAATACAAGCTTATAGAATAAGGAAGAAAGAAAATATTTTGTACAGCTGTACAGTGCATTCGTGTTTTAAGCTAAGTGTTATTACAAGAGTCAAGAAATTAAAAAAATTTAAACAGTTTATAAAGTAAATGAACTTACAATGAGCTGTTAATTTTATAGAAGAAAGAAAAATATTACTTTATGAATTTAGAGGAGTCCAGGTGTGCAGTGTCTATACAGTCTACTGTAGCATATAGTAATTTCCTAGGCCTTCACGTTCACTCACCACTCACTCACTGCCTCACCCAGAGCTACTTGCAGTCCTATAAGCTCCATTCATGGTAAGTGCCCTCTGCAGGTGTACCATTTCTTATCTTTTATGCCATATTTTTACTGTACCTTTTCTATATTTAAATATGTTTAGATACACAAATACCATTATGTTACAGTTGCCTACAGTATTCAGTATAGTGATATGCTGTACAGGTTTGTAGCCTAGAGCAGTATGCTGTACCACCTAGCCTAGGTGCGTAGTAGGCTATATCATCTAGGCTGAGTAAGTACACTTTATGATGTTCACACAACAATGAAATGGCCTAATGACGCATTTCTCAGAACATCCCCATTGTTAAGTGATGTATGACTGTATATCCAGAAGAGCTCCGACTGTATTGCCGTTAGAGAGGCCTTCCCCATGGGCCAGGCAGCACCACCACCACATGGTTTTCTCCTGGCAGAAGCCCCTGTCTTCAGGGGCCTGTTGTCATCGCCATATAGCAGCCATGCAGTCACCACCACCAACCATGCAGTCATCACACCACTTGCATTTCTTTCCATTGAGAGTTTGGAGCAGACACAGGTACTAGAAACAGGAAAGGGAGGATGAATTCAGACCTGGAGGCAAGTGAGCTTACATGGACCACAGAACATTTGGAAGCACCCAGAATCTCACAAGTACCTACCAGGTTTGACTAAGGTAATCCCTATGTGTTGTGATCTGATTCAGATTCTTATAATTTTTCTGTTTGGAACTCTGATTCTTCAAATCTTAGAATGAATTGAGCAGCTGTCATTAAACGCTGGCATTTTGTCAGGTTTGATTGCTTTTAATTGAGTTGAGGTTAGACCTTATTTGAATAAAAAGGACATGACACACTGGCGATGATGAGTCGCTGATTAAGGGAGTGGTGACTCTGTGTACCTGCAAAAGTATCTGGTAGTGGGAACGGTCTGTGGCTTGGCAGAGGAGCAACCTTGAAACCAGCTCAGAGAAAAATACTACTTTTTAGAAGAAATGATAGGCGATCCTTGTGGCATGCCTTTCATTGTCACAAGATAATCAAACATTGGGCAAAAGCTAAGAGATGATTTAATAGTTTCTTTTTCAGGAAATGATTATCAGTCCTTTATTTCAGAAATGAGCTCGGAATAGTGCATGCGTTATTTTACACTATTAGTCACCGAGGATGGCTGTGCCAGGCGCACACACTCCGAGACAGCCTGATGAAAAGCTGCCTCGGGCAATGGCGCAGTGAGCCTGCTGCTCAGCTTCAATTAATCCATGTCTGATCACTCTTTTTAGTGAAGCAAAGCATTGCAACCCTCTGCCGCTGAAAAACAACCAGAAGAAGGGGCATTTCTGTTTTCCCCCCAGTATTTCATACTTGGTTTTCCCTGTTTTTCCAGTTACAACATATTCTTATCACTTTAAGCTGACCTAATAATAAACCCAATTAGTTCATGTAAAACATCCTCTATTACCTACTTTTTGTGATATAAGATTGCTGTTAACCTCTGTGAAACTGCTTTTTATTGAGACTATATATTTTAGCCTTCTATTAAGAAGATGTTTTTCCTTTTAGTATAAATCTTTTCTAAGATATATAGGTAAAATGCATGTAAATAAATAGCATTATCTTTACAAAATGAAAGAACTTTCAAATTTTATTCCAGAATGTAATGTGTTATCTCTGAAGAATGTTCTTGAGAAAAACTAGATAGTATAATTGATTTGAACATAATGTCAGTAAAGCCCAGGTTCTGAATTTATCTGAAAAAACAACTTGTTTTAGTAATCTCAGACCAGCTATCAAAGAGCTATTTCGTGGCCTGGCATGGTGGCTCATGCCTATATCCTAGCTTTCTGGAAGACTGAAGCAGGAGGATAGCTGCAGCTCAGGGGTTTGACACCAGCCTGAGCACAGTGAGACCCGTCTCTCTACCCTAGAAAAAAAATACAAAAAAAAAAAAAAGACAAGCTATCTCACAACTCCATGCCATTGTCATGGTAGAGACATTACTTACCACACAACATAAACTCATAACCCTGGCTAAGAAAACAGCCAAAACTTCCTTTGGTGTTTGTTCATTTATTTTCTTATTACCTATAAGGCAATATATTTAGTAACACCACAAATTTTAAATGTTATATAAGCGTTAGATAATGAGAGAAAGCAAATTTCCAAACAACTTTTATTGATGAAATTAAAAACTTGATTTATGGGCACTAGAATTTGAATTTTACATAATTTCATGAATAACAGAATATCATCTATTGATTTTTTTTCTCAACCATTTAAAACAATTCTTAGTTTGTGGGCTATACAAAAATAGGTGATAGGCCAGATTTGGCCTACAGGCCATACTTGCCAGTCCTTGCCTGAGGGCATCAGTAAAGCCCTAGCAGAGTTCCAGGATCTGTGAATACAGAGTGGCAGGATCTGTGAATACAGTGCATCTGGGCTAGAAGTTAAAAACAAAAAGATAAGAAATCCCTGCATATTTGGAAATTTTAAATGTATCATTAAATAGCTCATGGTTTAAAGAATAAATTTAATAGATATTTCTAAAATCTTAGATCTGAATGATAATGAAAACATTACATATCAAAATTTGTGAGATGTGATTGAAGTGGTGATATGAGAGAAATGTATATCCTTAATTAAATTAGAAAGCAATAAAACTGTGATCATTGGTCAGATAAGTATTTATCTTAAAAAGTTACTAATTGAACAACAAAGTAAATCCAATGGAAGAAGAAGGAAGAGATAATAAAAATGAAAGTTGAAATTATGCAGTAGGGGAAAAAAATAATACAGTAACGATCAACAAAATCCAGAAGTTTGTTCTTTGGAAAGAATTAACAATACCTGGCACAGCTGATCAAGAGAAGAAAGAGAAACATTTTTATGGCCTAGCACAGTGGCTCATGCCTGATGCCTATAATCGTAGCACTCTAGGAGGCCAAGGCAGGAGAATCACAAGGCAGGAGAATCACTTGAGCTCAGGAGTTTGAAATCAGCCTAAGCAAAAAAGTGAGACCTCCATGTCTACTAAAAACAGAAAACTATTCTAGAGACTGAGGCAGGAGGATCACTTGAGCCCAGGAATCTGAATTTGCAGTGAACTATGATGACATCACTGTGATCTATTTGGGTCAACAGACCAAGACTCTGTCTTGGGGGAAAAAATTTATTAATGAAAAGTTGGGTATAACAATAGATAAAGTAGAGATTACATGGTAAGCAAAGATAATTAAAAGATGCCTAAGTAATTCAGTGGGGGAAAAGATCATCTTTTCAACAAAGGGTTCTGAAACAACTGAATATCTGTATTTTAAAAAGTAAACCTTGGTTCTTACCTCCCAACTTACACACAACTCTAAATGAATCATAGACATAAGTGTAAAAGCTGAACTTTTAGAAATCTTCACAGCCTGGAATTAGGCAAAATTCCTTGGATTGGACACAGGAAGTATGAACCATAAAAGAAAAAAATTGATACAGGAATTCACCAAGATTTAATGGTACAAAGTTATAATTAGGAAGAATAAGTTTGGTGTTCTATCACACAGTAGGGTGACTATAGCAAATAACAATGTAGTGTGTATGCCAAGAGAACTAGAAGAGAAGATTTCAGTGTTGTTACAAAGAAATGATAAATGTTTCATGTGGTAAATATGGTAATTACTAATTTGATCTTCATGCTGTGAATCTATGCATTGAAACCTCACATTGTACCTTATAAATATATACAATTATTATGTGTCAATTATAAATAAAAATTTTAAAATCTATTTTTTTCTTTTTTTTGTTCTCAGTTTCTGCTCTCTGTATCTATGGGTTCTGTATCTGTGGATTCAACCAACTTTGAATTGAAAATAATTAGAAAAAAATTGCATCTGTAATGAACATGTACAGACTTTTTTCCTTGTCATTATCCCCTAAATACAGTATCAAAATTATTTGCTTAGTATTTACATTGTATTATATAAGTAAATCTAGAGAGGATTTAAAGTATATGGGAGGTTATTGTATTAAAGAATACAATATTATTGTATTGTATTAAAGAAAAATTTTAAACTTGTATCTTTTGAAAGATACTATTAGGAAAATGAAAAGGCAAGCCAAAGATTGGGAGAAAATATTTGTGGTACATATAACTGATAAAAGGATTCTATCTAGAATTTATAGAGAAATTTTATAATAAGAAGGCCAAAAACTGATAAATACCATATTCATATATATATATACACACACACACATACATATACATGTAGTCATCCTTGGTTCTCATAGGGGATTGGTTCTAGGACCTCCTACAGATACCAAAATTCATGGATGCTTTATTCCATGATATATAAAATGGCATTGTATTAATATTTGTATATAACTTGCATAAATCTCCCATATACTTTAAATCATCTCTAGATTTACTTATATAATACAATGTAAATACTAAGTAAATAATTTTTATACTGTATTTAGAGGATAATGATAAGGAAAAAAGTCTGTACATGTTCATTACAGATGCAATTTTTTTTCTAATTATTTTCAATTCAAAGCTAGTTGAATTCACAGATACAGAACCCATAGATACAGAGAGCAGGCTATATATGGCAAAAGTTTTGAAGAGGTATGCCACCAAAAAAGCGTTCAAATGACCACATGAAATGATGCTTAATATATCAGTCATTGTTATATCACTGTACAGCTACTAGACTAGCTAAAATAGAAAAGACTGACAGCACGAAGTATTGATGAAGGTATGGATCTACTAATACTCTGTCTACAGTGTCTACTCTACTAGACAGTGGTCTTATACATAGCTAATGTGAATGTAAAATGGCATAATCACTTTGGAAAGCAGTTTGGTAATTTCTTACACAGTTAAATATAAATTCACCATATGACCCAGCAATTAATTCCATCCTAGGTATTTACTCAAGAGAAATGAAGCCACATGTCACAAAAAGTCCTGCACATGAATGTTCATAGTGATTTTATAATAACCAAATACTAGGAATGTCCAAAAATCAGTTTGGATAGACAAATTCATACAGCAGAGTAGTATTCATGCATAAAAAGAATGAACTACCGATACACACAAGAATTCAGATGACTCTCAAAAACCTTTATGCTAAGTAAAACAGATGTGAAAGTGAACATAGCATCTGGTTTAATTTATGCAATATTCTAGAACAAGCAACTAGGACAGAAATCAGATTGCTGTTTCCCCAAGACTAAGGGTGAGGGCTGGGGAGTGACTGCTGGGGGGGGGGGGGGTTTTTTTTTTTTTGCTTTTAATTTAAAGGGTTAATTAATTAATTATCACCGTTTCTTTGCCACCATTTTTGAAACTTTCCCCAACTTGGGAAAATTCCTAAAAAAAAAAAAATTATCAGAACTATGTCAAGAAGTAAAAAGCTTAAAAGTTTGGGACTAGTACTAAAAGTATTACGTTGAAGTAGTGGTTAAAAATCTTCCCATAAAAAATACATATAGCCAGGTGGTTCTACAGGCATGTTCTAACAAACTTTCAAACAAGTCATCCCAGTTTATACAGATTCTTCCAGGCACTGGAAAGGGAGGACTACTCTGCAGATCATTCTGAGGAGTTACCGTAACTTGTAAATCCAGACAAAGACACTATCAACATGAACTCACAGGTCTGTTACATTCGTGAGTATGGATGCAGAGATTCTAAACATGTTAGCAAATCAGCTTCAACTGCATGTATAAAAGACTACACTTCACCTCAAAGTTGGGCTCTTGTAGGTATGCAAGGATAGTATAATAATGGAAAATCCATACAGTAATTTACCACAACAGAGTAAAAGAGAAAAAAATGTGGTGATTTGAATATATGCAATAAATGCATTTGGTAAACTTAACACCCAAGTGTAAGTAATGTTTCCAGTTAGTTTTTTTTCCCCTTCATTTTGATTGACGGAATTAGCAAGACTGAGAGAGAATGTAATCAGAAACGTAGAACTTTACTATTTTAAGTGACCAGCAGACACTAATGGAGAATCTTTTTCCAGCGGTAAGGAGAGGCAGGGTAATAGCGGCTGGAAGGAAGGACCCTGCAGCCAGAGTCCCTGGGGTTATCCTTGGCACCCCCCTCCCTGTTGTGTGCGACTGTGGAGAAGTTACTTGGTTACCTCGTGCCTTGGTCTATAGGGATAGGGACAAGAGTACCACCCAAAGGTGGTTGTCATGAGGATTGATCAATTAGCAGATGTGAAATACACTGCTGACACACTGCTGACACACAGCACGTTCTGTAGTTGGTTTCAACTATTTTTCTTATCGCTTTTCAAATAATGTCTTTTATATTGTTTTCTTTAAGGCCACCTCAATCTTAGCCAAAAGGATAAGTTGATAACTACATCTGGGCTTTGATAGAAGTACTTACTGTTTCAGGTTACAGTTGACCCCTTTTCTCTGTGTGTTCCTAAGGTGAGTGATTTCACGTGGAGCCACGACGGGACCCAAGCACTTATTTCATACCGAGATGGGTTTGTCCTGGTCGGCTCTGTCAGTGGACAAAGACACTGGTCATCTGAGATCAACTTGGAAAGTCAAATCACATGTGGCATATGGACTCCTGATGATCAACAGGTAATGCCTCTGGACCGTGGGTATGCAATGTTAAAACCATGGGTGCTGAGGAGGAAGAAGGGGGAGCCGTAATCCCAGTGCTTTGGGAGGCCAAAGCAGGAGGGTTGCTTGAAGCCAGTAGTTCGAGACCAGCCTGGGTAACATACTGAACCCTCCCCCTCCTGTCTCTATATAAAAGTTTTAAAAAATTAGCCATGCATGATAGTGTGTGCCTATAGTCCCAGCTAGTTGGGAGGCTGAGACAGGAGGATAGCTTGCACCCAGGAGTTTGAATACCATTGTATTCCATTGTATTCCAGGCTGGAATTCCAGCCTGGACACCAGAACGAGACTTCTTTTCTTAAAAAAAAAAATAAAAAGAATCATAAGGTAAAGAACAATAAAATGGTCCAGGTAATAATTTAAAAAAATTAAATGAACCATAAATTAGAAAAATAATATTTCCCACAAAGATGGTAAACATTGAGTTAACATTTTGATTATATAAAATGTTCGTACAAATTTATTTTAAAATCTACATAAATAGCTAATTGATAAATGAATAATGGATATAAATAAATAATTTCCAGAAGAAGAAGTTCAGAAGTTCAACTAGTCAGTAATCATATGGTGGAAAATATTCTCAGAAAAAAATGCAAAATTAGCACAGTATATTTTTCACTTATTAACAAAAAATGATACAGATGATTTTACTGATTACTGATGAGAGTACTAACAAACAAACATTCTCATTCATTGCTGGTAATGTATATTAGACCTTTGAGGAAGCAATGTGCCAGAGTACGTTAATAGTCTTAAAAATTGCATCTACTTTGATCTGGTAATATACTTTAGGAAGTTATCTAAAAGAAACAAAAAGGATGAAAATAAAAGTTACAGTCAGTAAAGCATTAATATATGATAGTAAAAATTTACAACATCCTACTTGTCTAAAAGAGGAGAATGGTTAACTAAACTATGGTGTAAATACTTAAAAGATTATATAGTAGTTCAGTGAATTATAGAATGAGGTTATAAAGACCATGTAATAATCTGGAGGCACTTTTAGGACATTAAGCAAAAAAAATCAGGATACAAAATGGTATGTGTGGTATGTTCCCACATCATAAAACAACCAACAGAAAACCATCCACATAGTAGAAAGAACTGTGAGGAAATGAATCAAAATGCCATAAGTAGTTATTTTATGGCAATGAGCCATTGGTTCATTTTTTTTAAATCTAATTTTGAAATTTTCTTTAATGTGGCTGTTTGACTTTTGTGATAATATAGAATAACTTAATAAATTTATATGTTGATAATTCATTTTTAAAATATAAGGATTGACTGATTAAAACCTTTGTAAACATAAAATTTATGCTTTCCAAGTATAGCAGAATCCATAAAATGCCAGACCGTTTCATACCAGAGATTTAAGTTTATTATTGGTAAAAGTAAGCAGTGTAATATGGAACCATCACTTTTTATTTTTGAGCTACTTTATTTTTTTACTGAATTGTTTTCTTCCAGTCACTATATACTTCATGTTTCTGTTTTTTGAAGTAAAAAAGGCAAACTTTTTATCTTCTCAAAATTAGTATTATGAGATTTATGGAAAGATTTTCAACTCCAAGTTTATTCCCTTGCTTTCCCCAAAGACTTATCCCCCAGCATTTGTGTGTATTTATATGGAGCATTGAGATTTATTTATCTTAAAGCTTTATTTTTATAGATCTTTGCTACCACTGGAGTCTCCTCAAAGAGACGTGTGCTGCAGCCCATTCAGTGACCTTGCACAAGGCACCTGACCTCTCCCACGTGGGTTTCCTCCTCGGTGACAAAGGGTGTCAGTTATTTCCTGCCTGATTTCCTGGGCTTTCCTAGTGATCAAATGAGGGGACAGATGTGAAGGCACCTCTGTAAGTGGAAGTCTTGGCTTCACATTCTTTCCCCACCTAGAGTGATGGAACCCATGAGCCAGCCGGGAGGCTCATCGCAGGACCCCTGATGAGCTGTGCCAGCCAGTGTCCCCAGCAGACTGCACATGTGTAGTGTGACCAGCAAGGGACCCGGTGTTGCCTGGGCACCTGTCCGTGCTAAAAATGCTGCTCCTATGTCCCAGGAAGGCTGGCTGTGACTCCACGCCAAGGCTGGGGGTGGCCTTCTAGGCAGCCCCCCAGAGTTGGGAGGCACGGACAGCACAGTGTTTGTGTATCACAGGGCGAGGTTTGGTGCTGCTCATGGAATACGAGGGGCCTCGTGGGGCTGGAGGGGTCAGTCGGGCCACAGCTCTGGGGAGTGTTGGACCCGGACTGGGCTTTGTAGACCTGCCAATGTGAGGAAAGAGCCAGCTGGGTGGGAGATGTGGGCTCCTGGCCCCAGCCTCTGTCCTGATGACTGCTTTTATGAAGGACAGGATTTTGTTCCAGGAAAGGGTTCCCTTGCCTTTTAAAAAAAAGTTGGCAGCTGAGTGCAGTGGCACACACCTGTAGTCCCAGCTGCTTGGGAAGCTGAAACTAGAAGGCTCGCTGGACCCCAGGAGTTCAAGGCCAGCCTGAGCAACATAATGAGACCTTGTCTCTAGAAAAAAAAATAAAGAGGTTTGCAGATCAGTGAAGTGATAAAGGACCCTTGGGAGAATTCAACCTAGAAGATGTGCATCGGGTACTCTGTCAGTCCTGTTGGGATGTGGAAAAATGATACTCCTTCCTCTGTCTCTGCCATTCTGTCCTTGGTTTGCTTGGTTTGATTTTGTTAATGAAGAAAGTGTACAAAGACAGGTAGAGTACCAGCCTGATGTTGTGACGCAGTGAGCTGAGTCCCAGCCAGGAGTGTGGTATGGACAGCAGCGCTCATGTGGTGGGGGAGGGGGCTAAGGCCTGCTTCCTGGAGAACTTTCTGCCTTTCATATGCGTTTAAACAGCTTCCAGGAGAAAACCTTCTCCTCATGTCTTTAGGTATTTCCTTTTATAATGGGCTTTTAATCTACTTCCTGTCAACTTTTAAAAATATAAGCAGTACCTATTTTACAAGCAATTGAGTTTTATTTAAGTCTAGCCATTTTCCTACTTGTCATATTTTTTTTTCATTCTAGAGTGGCAGTTTATATACCCTTTTGGGAGTTATAGACTACTCTGAATAAGCATCAGATGGGAATTGTGAGCCCTTTTCCTGCAAACATGCGTTTATATACGCACACATCATACATGATCATGGATCTCACTCTGCATGAGCTTTTGGAGCTCACTGGATTTCATCTATGGATTCTCCCCTTCACATCCTGATCCAGATAGTTTAAAGGTGATATTTCAGGATAATCACCCCAACTTTCTATTATAAATAAGTTCAGATGTACATAAAAGCCAAAGGAATATACCTTCCTTAAATTTAACAGCTAACATTTTGCCATATTTGTACTCTTTTCCCTGCCCCTCACAAACACACTTCTGTAGTGCTGTTTTTGAAAGAGAGTTATACGTAGCATGGCACGTCAACCTTGTGGTCCTTAGAATAAAGCCATACACCTGTGTGTTATCACACCCAGGAAATGAGCAGGGATGTTATCAGGTATCTAGGCTATCATCATATTTCCCTAATTGTTAAAAGAATGTATTTTTTAGACTATTTCTTTCTTATTTTTTGCTTTTTGGAACTGAGATCCAGTTTAATTCATGTATAGCTATTGGTTATTATGTCTCTTCAGTCTTTTAGTCTAGAACAGTTTCCTTTTTTTTTGTTAATGACATTGACTTTTAATGAGTTCAGTGTGGTTACTTAGACTGTCCACATTCTGGATTTGTCTGATTGTTTACTTGTAGTATCGTTTAACTTCTTCTAGCCCTTGCATTTCCTATAAGCTGGAAGTTAAGTCTAGGTTAGAGTTGGATTAAATCATTTTGGTAAGAATACTCTATAGGTGATGTCATATTTTTTATACTAAACCTCATACTAAAAGGTGTGTAATATCATATTATCCTACTGTGAGGTTACTGAGTTTGATGGAACCTTTGTAAAAACCAAGTTTTTTTTTCACAACATGTTCTTAATTTCATCTACATTTATACTTACTTTTTCAAATGATGCATTTCATTTCATGCCAAAATTTGTCGTCCATTAAATTGCAAGAAGGGAATGTAGTGCTACCTGGAGTTTATATAGTGGGTAAGGACTCTGTATGAGTGTGCTAGGGCTACCACAACAGAGTACCACACACTAGGGGGCCTAAAGAACTGAAATGTGTTTCTCAGTTCTGCTGGCTGGAAGTCCAAGATCAAGGTGTTGATAGGTTTGGTTTTTCCCAAGGGCTCTCTCTTTGGCTTACAGACAGCTGTCCTCTCACTGCATTGTCACCTGGACATTTCCCTGTACACCCATCCCTCTGCTGTTTCTTCCTCTTACAAGGCCCCCAGTTCTGCTGAATTAGGGTCCTACCCATACCACCTCATTTAATCCTAATTACCTCTGTATAGGAGCCGTCTCCAAATATAATCACGTTGGGGGTTTTAACAAATTTGTTGAATAAAATTCAACATGAATTTTGTGTGTACACAATCCAGTCCATAATTGACTAATAAAAAAATATTTTGGAGAATAGAAAATTCATAGAAGAAACAATGATACAAACTCAGCTTGATAAACTTGGGATATATTTATAAACAGAACAGTTTTATAGGCTTGGGAGAAAACCAGAATGACATAAATAGAAAATATCAAAGAAATAAATATAAATATGCCTGGAAAAAATATCTGGGTCCGAAGTTAATGCAGAGTAAGCAGCAGGGAAGCTCTGGGGTTCCCGGGAGCACCTGCGTCACAGCAGGCGTGTGGGGAAGGCACTGCTTTCCTACGTTCTCCAAGGCCAAGGGCTTGGGGAACATACCTTGCCGCTTGACATGTGGCCGTGCTTCAAGACACAGACATTTAAAAATAGCCTTCCAGCATGTTTTGGATCCTAGCTGATTATCAGTTCACTTTGAGAGCCTTGCAACTAGAGAATGCTGTTGAGAACAAAAGGTAGAGAC